CACATCTTACGTCCATGTTGTTCGTTGTCACTGCCATCTCTGCTGTCACTATCATCTGTATACTCCATATCCTGCTGCAAATTACCACCATTTGCCTTCTTAGTGCCACTACTTGCTTCGCAGTCACTGTCACTTCCTTCCAGAACAGTCTTATTTGTTTACTGATGCTTGCTTTTCTTGGGCTTAGGCGATTCATCATCATCAGAGCTTAAGCTTGTTGCTGACTTTCTTGGAACCTTCTCTAATGGCTGTGATTCTCAGTCCTAAAATCCCATGCGCTACCTGGAATTCCATGAACACTATTCCATGGCAGAAGGACCGTTTTCCATGTGTGGCTGCTCACTTTCCATGTGGAGCCTCTTTTCCATAAGAAAGCTGCTTGGCCCTCCATGGAAATAAATGTGATCATGGGGTCGGGACTAGCTTTTCATGGGACGTATCATGGAGATAGTGCATATTCTACCATGGTGTGTCTTTCGATATGGTGTTGGTCTTAACTCAATGGAGAAACAAATTCCCATGAAAGTTAAGAAAGCTGTAAAATCTGTGTTTAATTGAATATCAGTCTAAAATTTGGTGGCTAGCAGCTCGGTCGAATTTTAGTGGGGCCATTTTGATCTCATTCAAATTGGAGCACTTTTTCCTGCTATCTCGTAAACAGCCGTAGAGAGCGGATTCAGCTCCGCCTCAGTTCCAACCACCCGAAAACATGCTTCGTAATTATCTGTAAGACTGACTTTGACCTAGGCGACCGACTCTGCTCTTTGCTTTACCATGGTAAAGTTGTCCATGGGCTTAGTATTGTTCCATGGAGACCATCACTATGTAGTTTCAATACATGCCTATGGAAAAAACACTCATGGAAAAGCGGCCAAAAATACATGGAAAGTTCTCCCTTGGACAGTTGATGTTCCATGACGTTCCATGACAACCCATGGGTCATGGAAAGCACCATGGTATTTTGGGACTGGGTTTCTTCTTTAATCTGCGACGCACCTCGCCTGGCTGCTTCCTGAAAAATTCTAGGATATCTTCATGGGTGGGTCGCTGCCCCTCAAGCCATTTTAAGCCATTGCGCAATATTTCTGCAAAACTAATGAAGGAAAAGCTGTAACCACACTTGTGTCCATTATCTTAAGGTTCAAGCCTGGATTGGCTTTTACGCCTGTTTTGGTCTTCGGAAATCCTCTAATTGATTCACCAACAATTAATGTAAAGCAGGCTGCCCCTTTCTGTGTGAAACAACCATGCATTTCGTCGATT